GATTCCCTACTAGATGTTTCAAACTAGGATGTTTTGTGATATTTCCAAAAGATAGGGGGTTTTCAACAATTTTGTCAATTGGTAAGGGGTATTTTGTTGTTTGGCCTTTAAGAAATAATAAACCTCATATAATTTGCTCAACTAATAAGACTGTAAAATTCGAAGAAAGAGGTAAATAAACCTAGCGATAAGGCTCAGCCAATAAGACTGGTGGATAAAATTGAAAAAGGGAAAGTTTCATATCTAAGAGGTTAATTATAACACATTTCAAAACTAAGAAACAAGTTTTAAAACTTTAAAAACCAGATATTATTAAAACTTATTTATGAAATAATTAATTAAAAATATATTTTATTAATTAAATATCTTAAAATCACATTTCTATATAATTTGATCACAGATTATTGAATTAATTGGCCGTGAATTATTTTTCGATCACGAATAAAATTTTTTAAAAGTCTCAAATTATTTCACAATCACAAATTAAAAATAAATAAATGAAATTGAGAAGGTGAAATCACGGATATATTAAAGAAATCAAATATACCAATGATTAAAAAAAAAAAAACCCAAAGGTTGTTGGGGAAAAAAAACTAAATTAAAATCAAACAATCAATCAATATTCAATTCAAGACACAAGAACAAAAACCCAAATTGTAAAATCGAAAAAGATGAGAAGATCAAATCATGGACATTAAAGAAAGCAAATGTACAAATCGTAAAAAAAATCCCTAAGATCTACGACTAAAGAAGACTAAATGAAAATAAAACCATCAATTGAGATTCAATTCAAGGCATAAGAACAAAAACCTAGATTGTAAAACCGAAAAAGAAAAAGAAAAAACAAACCACATTGAAAATGAAAAAGAATCTTGAAAATTTTGTGCGAGCACACTTCAAAGAAAATTAAAAAATTATTTTGACATGAAAAATATAAATAACAAAATACTAAAAACTCACCAGCTAAAATCACTTCGATTTTCAAGAAAACAGAAAGTTCCAACTCTCTCTTCTAAAAAATAGATCTAAACTTTGATAGAGAGAAATATAAATGAATAAATTCGAGTGTGAGAAATTGGAACTAAGCGCCAATAAAGTAAAGAGGCATGGGTCTAGAGTAAAGAATAACTATCGTTGCGTGGAGTAATGGAGAAAAAACTAACAGAAGACAATTAAATGGATTAAAATACGCAATGATGTGGTGCTTAATCTTAAGAAATGGCTTCAAATATGCCTTCTTTTGGTCTTAAAAAGAGAAATTTGGTTAAAATATGATGTCAGCATTACATCATGATGATGCCTCATGAATAGGAATGAACTTTGCCCTTTTATATATTGTAGGGATTTTAACTTGAGAAGAAGATGGTGATCCATTGGAAAAGGATCTCAAAGAATTTGATGATCTCATAACAGGACAAATAGATTCAGAGAGTGCAGGCCAAGCAAATCAAGTATTGATAAAAACAGAACATAAAGGCTTATAACTCGAGTCGAGAGAACATAGAAGCTACTCCGTGTCACAAAAAGAACATATAAACTGCAAAATAAATTAGCGTGTCCAACCACATTAACAAAACTTCAAGAACATACTTCAAATAGAAATGAGCAAAGAACGGAGATGTGAACAATGATACAGTTTTACATCACACCACACAAATTCATGTCGATCAAAAATGTTTCACAGCAAACTCTGTTGATATAGATTCAAAGCAACAGAAATCAGATAAAAAGAAATGGAATGGACATAAGGGTTTTGGCATGTTGAAAGGATCACATAGCAGTTCGAATAAATCAAATAAACAGAACAAACCCCTAAATTAAACAAAAGCACTAGAAAATTTTATTGGACTTGAAGAAATAGAAGGCAGTGAAGGTCTTTGGAGAAATGCCATGGCTTCATTGTGACGACGGCGACAATTATAGAACTGATTACAGAAAATGAGCTCGAATCTTGCATCATCTTGTTCTGTAATGGTTGCATCTAAAATAGTTTCAAATAATTAGAAATTTATCAACTTTATACTAAAAAATTCAAAATCATCTCAGAGATTAAAGATCGAAACTATATGCATATATATAGAAAAATATGGAGTAAATTTAACCAATAATCACTGAACTTTACACTTCATTACTACTTGCTCACTCATCTTTCACAAATTACTGAATGCTCACTCATCTTTTCATATAATTTCTCATTCATCACTCGTCTTTTCAAATAATTGGGTGACTTTTGCGACAACTTTTCGACAACTTCCGACCACAAAGAATGTCGAATTTTGATACCGTTGGAAAGTCCACGATGTCCTCTTCAATTACCACCCAAAATCTCATTATAATTCCAAGGGATTCGATCGGAAAATTGCCTTAAAAGTCGTCCAAAAATTCTGAAAATCTGCCCAGATTTTCAGATTTTTTGGGCAACTTTTAAGGCAATTTTTCGACAACTTTCGACCATCAAAACTATCGAATTTTGATACCATTGGAAAGCTCACAACGTCCTCTTCAATTACCATCCAAAATTTCCCCATAACTCCAAAGGATTCGGTCGGAATAAACTCACAAAGTCAGCATCCTGAACTTTGTCCAGATTTTCGTCTTTTCAAGATGCTGATTTTGTGGGTTTATTCCGACCGAATCCTTTGGAGTTATGGGGAAATTTTGGATGATAATTGAAGAGGACGTTGTGGGCTTTCCAATGTATCAAAATTTGATAGTTTTGATGGTCGAAAGTTGCCGAAAAATTGCCTTAAAAGTCGCCCAAAAAATTTGGGCAGATTTTCAGAATTTTTGGGCAACTTTTAAGGCAATTTTTCGATCGAATTCCTTGGAGTTATAATGAGATTTTGGGTGGTAATTAAAGAAGATATCGTGGGCTTTCCAACGGTATCAAAATTCGATATTCTTTGTGGTCGGAAGTTGTCGAAAATTTGCCGTAAAAGTCGCCCAATTATTTGAAGAGACGAGTGGTGAATGAGTATTATATGAAAAGATGGGTGAGCATTCAGTAATCTGTGAAAGATGAGTGAGCAAGTAGTAATGAAGTGTAAAGTTCAGTGATTATTGGTTAAATTTACTCGAAAAATATGTTACAAGAAAACTATATTAATCATGGGGAAAAAAAAAAAAAAAAAAAATAGCAAACACATGCAATGTCCTCCAAATTTCGATCCTCATGTATTGATCACAAGAATATAATAGAACAAGGGTTAAAAAGAGAGCAATGACATATGCCAATACAAATATTTTATTCCATTTATGAAGAAACGGCCTGCAAGGATCTAGAATTTCCTTCCTAGATCCTACATTTTGGCCCGAAACCTATTCAGTGAGAACGATTCCAATCCTTCTATAAAACTTTTAGTTCTTTCAGAAGCATCTCCAACCCTCTGTGTAATTTGTCTACAACACAGTTCAACATTGATCTAAGTTTGGTTGGTTTCGCTCCATCTTCGGTAGGAGATTGCCGCTTGAGCTTTTTACAGATTCCAATCCTGAAACCTGAATTAGAAAAAAAACTAAGAATCTGAACATAAAAATGCATGAGAAGTAAAGTGATACGTCAACTGTTGCAGAGGAACAGAACTAATAAGAACCAAAATACATAGAAAAATTTCCACGACGTAGTTGGAAGGCTATAATGCTCCATTCGATAAGCAAGGTATGGTAAAATTTAGCGTGGGAGCTCATGCATAAAGATGGTTTTTCAAAGCATTTCTTTAAAAAAGAACCACCTGGAATATCCATAGAATTACCACAATTACCCAATAGTGATTGACCACTCTCCAATCTATCAAGAAACAATACACGTGTCAAAGACAAGAAAGAAGGTCTAGGTTTTCCAAAACATTGCAATTGATTTCTTCTGCATAAACCTTGTGAAACTTTGCTACCTCAAATTGACTCAAGGAAAAGCAAATGATAAGGGCCATCGAGAACTAACCTCCTAAACCTATTTTGCCGAAAATTTATCATTTTAGCTCACGTGAGAATCTGTGGAAAGACATATCTACTACTAAACTATTGAAAAAAAGGAATTCATGGAAAATCTTCTTATGATTGAGTTGATCAAGATAAAGTCCTGGAGGATAATCATTACAACCGACTGATTATGTTGTCTTCCATAATTGAATCATAAAAAAGTAAATAACCTACGTTTCAGTCATCTATTAACCATGATAGTGGAAATTGTACATTATCTGAAGCAAGTCAAGTAAAAAATTACGGCAAAAAATGGATAAAAAAGTGTAAGGCAAGTAAATAACAAAACCAAAGTCCAAATTAGACAATTCTCAAAATGAGAATAAAATCGCAATAAGCCTTTGTTCGTCAACCATTCTACCACATTCTACCGTATTATTTTTCTACCGTACTCATTTTCAACCACACATTCTTCATTAAAATAATATTACACATAAATTAATAAAAAATTCATTCTTTTTTAACCACACATTTTAAACATCAATCACTATTCCATAATACACTTTTTGAAATTAAAGGGGCACAAATAGGCCTAAGAAAATAATCAAGCAACTCCTCAAAATGATATTATTGTCAAATTAAAACCAAACAAACAAAAATTTCCAAGTTTCAAGTTGTTGAATAAGACTATAAATTGACTTCAATGAACACATTTTCTCCAAACCTCACAGAAAGAGTAGCTAAAAAACAATTGAAAAATTTCCATATTAATTAAAAACGTGCAAATCTAACCATAAAAATTATGATTCTTCCAAAAAGAAAAAAAAAACTCACCAGTCTTTAAAATATGAGTAAGAAAAGTTCATTGTGAGGGGAAAAAAAAAATGAAACTTGCGTATAAAAGTGGTGAAAGACTGTGACAAGAAAAAGACCACATGCTAGAGAGTGAAAAAACAAAGGATAAAACACTACTCAAAAATATGGCTTCAGGCACGGATTTCCCGTTCTTAAAATCTTGATATCCGTTGCTATTACTTTTTACCAACGGAATATTTGCAATCACAAATTTGTTGTTAATTTGAGGACCACTGATAATTACCAATGGATTGTGCCGTAGGTAAAGAGTAAACATTTTACCAACGAAAATTTCGTTGGTAATGTGTGAATTTTTTACCAACGGAATTTTCGTTGGTAAAAATCTTAACCAATACCAATTGACTTTCCGTTGGTAAATGTATACCATTTCAATTTGTAAAAATAAATGTTGGAAATAGTCATATAGGTGTGAGGCATGATAAAAAAAAAATTATTTACTTATTTTTTATTATTGTTATTATTATTTATTTAATAATTATAATTTTTTTAAAACTTTTAAACAATTGAATTGAAAAGCCAAAATATTGTTTAACCACTTATTGGACCACAAATTTATAGAGGACAATTCCAAAGATTTTGTTGTAAATTTTCGATGTGGGATAATTGAATTACTTTTACCAACGGATAATCTATTTTTAATTACCAACGGAATATCCGTAGGTGAAAGATTCAAATGTTAAACGGTCATATTAGGCACAGAATATCCGTTGGTAAAGAGATATTATCATTATCAATGGAAAATCCGTGGCTGATTGTCGTAGTTGAAAGTAAATTACTTTTATCAATGGATAATCTGTTTCTAATTACCAAAGGATTGTTTCCGTTGGTAATATTTGGTACGTGACAGATCCAAATGTTAAACGGTTACATTAGGCATGAAATATCTGTTGGTAAAAGAATACTAACCAACGAAAAATTCGTTGCTGATTATCGTAGTTGAAAGTGAATTACTTTTACCTACGAATAATCCATTTCTAATTACCAACGGATTGCCCGTTAATAATTTTCCATAGGTGAAAAGCTGTTTTTTAGTAGTGAAATGATGCAAGGGGAAAAAATAATGCAAAAATTTATATACACATTTATGACTTTAGGACGATGATTTATGAATAATAACCTATTTTGTTCTTTTATATATTGTAAGGATTATACAATTAGGAAGAAAAAATGCAGTAACTAAGTTTTAAATAAAGATAAAAGTGTCTATAAGAATATAGTGAATAGTTATGTACAAAGATGTCTTTGAAATTCATAAGTAAAAAGGAATCTATAAATTCTATCGAAACAAAATCTAAATTTGCCTAGCTTTAATTTAAGGCTACCTGAAGTGATTTGCACAAGTGATCGAATCCAGATGTATTCAGTCAACTCATGTTCTAACTACGAAATTCCAACTTGTTGTTTCCAAAAAATGACATTTTTACAGAGACCAGAAACTATAAAGCATGACACACCAAATACATCATCTAATTGCCAAGGGAAAATAACCAAATACGGTGAAAGAAAAGACTCCCTAATTTGAACTACTACACCTAAATCTTAATCTAATAAATCCTATCACCTAATTGGACCGTGATTGCATTTGATGCTTTAAGTTTATTATTTAATTGTACAAGAAGTCAGTCACAAGCATGGATAAATGAGGGGGATTGTGCTAAGTTCATGGTCAGCACAAAACTTTGTCAACTTTACATGAATACTTACAAATGTGCTGAACTGAGTGGCAATAGAGTACTAATGCAACTCACTCTAAATTTATTAACCAGCTAAAATCATTTCGATTTTCAATAAACGAGGAAATTTTAATTTCATTTCTCAAAAACTGATAAACAAATTAGAAAGATCTAAATAAAATAACACCAATATAAGCATACAATAATGACCATAATACTACATATAAATCAAGAAATTCAGATATGGAAAATTCAGAAATTCTGCTTATTGAGTGTGACTTCCAAAATATCCCCCCTCTGATCCATATTTTGTTCTTGCACCATTTCGTTCACATTAAACAAAACCAACGATGACACATTTTTCCTGCATAAGTTAAAAAAGAAAATATTAACACCCAACAATGTTAATCGTTTCAAGTTCATGTATTGCCTTATCCACTTATCTACATACTAACATCAAATCCCCTTCACCATCATCATTGTCAGAGTTCTTGGCGGCACATAATATCTTAAAAGTTAAAAACAAACTGTTAATTGATTGAGCTTCATCCAAAATCACGAAATGTACATATAATAAATATAAATGAAAAGCTAAATATACAAGTAAAATCAAGGCATCGATTCACATGGTAAAATAAAAAATAAAAATAATAACCCATCCATGACATCATCACTGGTAGATAAACTGAACCTTAAGCAATTAACAATATTAGTAGGCTAGAAAGGAATTTGCAACTTATTTTCAGTTATTGCTTCAGAAACCAATTAATTGGCATACAGTTACAACTTTGGAACTTGCTTGTAAAAGGAGAAATTTTTCATTGCTCTTCCCTTGTGATAGGAATTGTTATTCAATTATCAATCTCTCTTATGTAATCGATATTTCAAAGTTCCACCAAAGCTAAAATAATTCTGTTCGCAGAAGTTTCAAACTCTTTCTGTTAGACCATTGAACAATTACCAGCAACTACAACATCATTTTATTTCTTATGAAGTGTTGTAACCTCCTGAAAATTTTAGAATAAAAAAATATTTATGTTATATATATTATATATTTACATTTTAAAGTTGAGGACTAAAATGAAAAATGTTTTAAAATTATATTTTATTTGGGTCAAATAATTAAATTATAATAGAGTAAGTATAAATATATCAATATTATACTGGTTGGATAGATCCTAATTAATTATGTATACTAGGCTAGAGAAAAAATCAATTCGAAAAAGTTAACTCTAAGATATTTCAATTAGAAGAGGTTGAAAAAAAAAATTTATTAATTTTCGAATTTAATTAAAACTCGGAAGTCCAGCCAAGGTGTTTTTTTTTTTTTTGGGGGGGGGGGGGGGGGGTTTTCATAGGATAAGTAATCACTTGACATGAGTAGGGTAGGTGGTAGATAATGTACCTTTATATGATTTATTGCTTTTGTTTTGGGAATTGATAAGAATTGTCAAGTAGCCTTATTTTAATATTATTTATTTACCTTGATTTTGGGAATAGATAGAGATGTTTTGACACGGTAGAAATCTTTGCACTTTTCAATTAGGATAAAAGGCCAATTGTAATGCACTAGAACTCCTAGTTACTTTATTGTTACCCAATTAAATTAGAATAGTAGAAATCTCAAAATTTATAGTTGAAATAGTACGAAACAAATCATACATTTTGCTTATGGGACACGGCCATTCTAATCCTTTTGCTGTAAATGTGATAATTACCTTACCTATTGGTTAGAAATAATTAATTTAAAACAATTCAAAACCCAATCATCTATCACTATCTTCCATTTTCCTATTTTGTTAAATGATTAAGACTTATCTAAACAGAGTTCTGATGTAATTATACTAAAAGATTTTGGCTTATCACATATTATTGATAAACCTCAACTAGCATGCACGTATTTTTGCAATTTCACTTTCATAGGGACTCTGCCCTATTTAAACCCTGCAAAGTCAAGTTGAAAGTACACACTATTTCAAGTAGAAAGAAATTTTTTATCAGAAAGTTTCTTGAATCAATTATTACAGTTAATCAATAATCTTTCACTAGAGTAGAGGAAGGAATTTTGGAACGTGCATTCAAATACTTTTTCTATATTTCAACAACGAGGTAAGATGCATATGTGCAAATTGTTTTCATTTCTATATGCTTTTATATGCAATTAAATATGCATGTATTGCTAGTGGACCCTTCGGATTCTATATAAAGAGAGATGAAATACTACAGGATATAAGAGGACCTAAGATAGATGTGTCGCTTGGTCATCGCTATACTCCATAAGAGTAGAGTGGTATGAAATGTAGATTTTATTGTTATATATCTGTATATGAAAACTGCACGTATCCTGCTGGGTGTTTTGAATACTCACTCTTACAAATTTTACAGGTTAGTTCGGGTCGATTGGAACAGTAACGAAATGGTGATGCGGACTGCAAAGTGGATCAAAGGAAAAGAAAAAGAAATAAGTTTGCTGTCTTTAAATTTACCAACTAGTTTAATTTTGTTTCAGAACGTGTTATTTGAATTAGTTAGGAGTTTATGTTATGTTTAGATACGATTTCCATGATTTAAATTTAAATTTTTAAATGTTACAGTTATTTGTTTAATGAAGAATTTTATTTTTTATAGTTCCGCATTTAAAATAAAGAAAAGTGAATTTTTTTTTGGTAACGTTCCGACGTTTACCGAAAATTGGGGCGTTACAAGTAGGGGCGAATCTAGCATCTAAGTTTAGATAGGTCGGAGCTTGACCGTTGACCGTCGACAATCAAAATCGTAATAGACTTGTCCTTATTAAAATTTGATTAAATGATATTAAAAATTATTCAAATATATGTAAATGTACGAGTTGTATACTAGTTTAGTAACTCGATTAGATTTTCTCTATTAAGAGACTTGTTCGATTCATCGTGACCACAAAATGGCAATCCTTAAAAAATCAATTAGAAGTGATTAAAATTCATAATTCTTAGACTCTCAGCAATAAGTCCTAATTTCCCTTATCCAGTAAACATCATCGCATCAAACAACACTCAAGAGTCTCAACTCAACTCTCAACAGACAAGTGAGACAACAAATCAACAATTCAAGCTCTTAAACACATTTGGATATGATTATGTTCTCGGGGGAGCAAGATGCCATATTGCGAATTTGAACACCAAAACAGAGCAAAGGAATACATTAAAGAAAGAATTTGACTCAGGCAACCAAAAAATATCCTAATCCTTTACCCCCAAAATTTTTTTCCTGTAATTAAATTGTAAATAAAACTTAAACCAACTAGTCCAACAAAAACAAAATCCCCAAAACAAAAAGAGATTCTGATTTCGTACTTCGCATAAAACAGACAACAAAAACATGGAAATGGATGGGTTTGCAGTTGCACAATTAAAAAAAATCAACAATACAACAGACAACAAAAACAATTTGACTCTCCATTGAATTGCAAGCTGCTTGCTTGGGCCTTGGAGACTCGAAGTCGCACTTTCTGATTTCGCACTTCGCACATGGTGACATGGTCCACGAATATACACATCGCAAATCGCAGGCGCAGCTACAACTGCTTCAAATGGAAATGGAAGGGTTTGAACTTTGCACTTTGTGTCTTTGGCGGTTTCAAATTATGACTTCGATTGGATTATTGGATTTGGAGTTTGGACCATTTCCATATGTTGTTGATTTGGGTTAGATACTGGATTGATTCATTGATTTCCTCATTGGGCCTAATCTTTTAAACAAAATGAGGCCTATTCTATCATCAGCCCAAAGAAAAAGTAAAATAAAATTTGGAACTCGTCTTTTTCCCTTCCAATTCCGTCTCTGGTTCTCTGCAACTGCTGCGCCTGCTCCTGGTGGCAACTGGACATTCTGGCGGATCTAGCACACCCAGCTGCGGGTGCTCGCCAAGAGCTGGATCCACCACTAGTTACAAGTGCCTTTTACCTTGAACGAACTCGTCTCAAATCAATGAAACACTACATTTAGTTCTTATACAGAGAGAATATAAAATTGATATGAGAAAAATGTAAATTAATTTAAGAAATAATAATTTTATTTATTTATTTATTATTATTATTATTATTATTATTATTATTATTATTATTATTTTTTGTTGGGTTCTATTAGTACTTCATCATTCTGAGCAGTAAAACAATGGATATAAGCGCTTACTAGGAACAAATTATAGTAGTAACATCCTATTGTTAATATCCAGTTCCACGAGACAAGGGATCCCATTCCAAGAAACCAAGAAACCAAAATTGCCTTGTATTTTGCCTGATACAAAAGTTAATTTTCCTGTAAGAATTTTAATGTCTCAAAAAAGATTAAACAAAAGAAAATAATTAGAAGAACCTCAAGCCTGCTTGAACTTGGAACTCCAATTGAATCAAGATTAGTCAGGGTTGCCCATCTTCTATTCATACTGCATAATGTACAGAAGAAAATAAAGCCATGTTTGGTAGGGATTTTTTGCCCCAAAAAATTAATTTTTTGACCGTTATTTTACTATTCAAGCCGTAGTTTTTGACTTCTTATCTCACATATGGACCCCATTTTTCTTTTAACGGTCAAAAAATCAATTCTCAAAATCCCGACCAAACGGGCCCTAAGTATAATGAATGGGAAAAATGCCAAATCTCAAAAACAGCAGGGAAAATACTCAGAAATTTACCAATTCTCTAGAAGAAAATGAAAACCTAGGTTGAATGATCAAGAAGAGCATGTAATATGAACAAAGAAATGAACCCTTATCAAGATTAAGACATGGACGGACTATTGTTCTTGGAGGGTTTCGAGTGGATGTTGACTGCTGAAGTATGAAAAAGAGATTCAGGTATGGGCCTGATAACGAGGCATGGGTCTAACATGGAAAGAAGAAAAAGAAAAAGGAAAACAAATTAAAATTAAAAAAATTTGACATCAGCATGATGCGTCATGAACAGTTGCCAAAGTTTGCTCTTTTATATATTGCGGTGATTTACTAAAATTTTGATTTTAATCACTATCAAACAGAGGCTAAGTACTTGTTCTCGGATCCAACAAAATATCTAATAAACTAGTATAGATCCGTGTTGAATGGTAAGAAGGTCGTTTTGCTCGTGATTTGGTAGATTTTTGCCTTCATTGACGTCTTCGGATGAAGAATTGTGATTTCCGAAGTGGGAATATCATAATCACCTTTCTAAACTTGAATTAAACTACTTTGCCCGAAATTTTTCGACATAATGGTTGATATCCTCTCACATGCACATGGATTCCACGTGAATAAAAAAGTCCAAAAAATTTTGGGCCCCCTCCCATTGTGTCAAACAAATTCGGGGCAGCATAGCATGATTGGCTTGCTGAAATTTTCTACTTTCACTTTGTTGATGCAAAAGATTTATTAAGGTTCATCTCAATGGAAGATTACGTCATCTTCAACCGTTGCAGTAATTCAATAGGATGAAATGAAGTTTACAAGAGAATTGCACACCTATCTTCTCTTACCTCTATTTCTCTCTTTTATGAGGCCAAATCCGCACTGGCTACATATAGAGACAATAATTAAACTCTACAACTACAAACCCATGTTCATATCAAACAAAAAAGGATAATAAAATCGTATGATTTGGAGAACATTAAATTGCAAATTATAAATAGCAACCCAGAAGAGATTCTCCACCTAAAACAAGGTTATTTCCCATTACAACTGAACCATTTTCGAACTAAGCTTATAGTTCAGTTAATATGATTTATCACTTATCAGTATAGTACCAATACACCAAAAAATAATAATAAACAAATAAATATATAAATTCTCCTAACAAATTCTT